GGTCGTCCTGCAAGGGTTTCTTGGAGGACTTGGTTCCAAACGGTTTGCTATGCTGTGGGTGCTAAATTTGATGGCAAAGGAATGACGCGCAAGGCTGCGCTGGCAGATTGGCTGGCCATGGGTGACTATGAGAAGGATTGTTGGAAGGAGAGCTACCAGACTTGGTGTGCCAAGCAGCAGTGTTTACCTGCTGCAGCAGCAGCTGACCCCAAGACGCCTGAGAAGCGTTCCGCGGTAGAATCCGCCCCGCAGTCGTCTGAGAAGCGCATTGGTGCTCCGACTCGAATGGTCAAGGATCCAGGCTCTGAGTCCTTGACGCGCCGTATTGACAGCTTGGACGCCTTTCATGCCAAATGGAAAGGCTTGAAGAAGGAAATTGCGAAGAAGGGTTTGCCAAGCTTCTTCTTGTCAAATGCCCGCAGGATGTACTTTCTCTACTTGGACATCGTGCGCCTTTTGGATGCTGGGTATTGGGGAGGCTCAGCTGAAAGAGCGAGCATTGAGTTGCAAGCTTACCATGTGAACCCGAGAAAGCTCTGCAAAGTCCGATCTCATGTGTCCTGCGCTGGCGACAAAGGTCTGCATGAAGTGCCTCGCTCCTTCTCCGCAGGCAGGGGCATGGGTACATGGATGCATGGGACTCGCGCGGCACTCGCGACAGGGTCGAAAAGACTCGCGCGGCACTCGCGCCAGCCTCACCTTGTTTCCGACCAGAACTTTTACAAAGTTCATTGCATATGTTTAAATCCATCTAGCCACCAATGTTTTACTTGCTTCAACATCCACCGACTCGTCGCCAGGCCGCTCTTCTTCTTTGACGGAAGGGCAGAAAGAAGACATGCTCAGGCACGTGACAGCCTGCGCCCTCAGCAACAGACCGCTGAGCGTGGTGGAGGTCAAAAAGAGTATGTACCGCTTCTACCTCACCAATGTGGGCCTGGTGAAGCCAGATGCTGAAACACCTTGGCACATGTACGATCTGCATGAGAAGAACCTTGACCACATCTACCGCGGTTGGAAAACATGGATTGCCGAAAACTACAGCAAGGAGTGGCATCTCAAGCGACGGAATCTGCACGTCAGGGCAGGTGAGCAGGCGGCGTATTGCACTCCCAAAGCAGTACACAGCTTCTTTGATACTTTGGAAGCCCTTCTGACGGAGGTGGGTCTCTACCCGGACGGATGCCTGAACGCATTGGCCTTGAAGTGCGTGTGGCATTGTGACGAAAAGGGGATGGAGTCCTTGCCAAACGGCAATCTGAAGCAGCAGCGTGTTGTTGCTCCAAAGTGTTGCGGCAAAAACACCACCTCCGTCGCCGAAAGCTCTTTTGGGCATATAACTCTTCTCCCATTCCTCTCGCTGGGTGCCTTGGATTCTTTCGAATTTAGTTGCGAATGTCCCCCAAACTTGTAGATGACCATTAGATAATTAAGTTTGATTGTTTTTTGGCAATGAGTAGCCGAGGTGGCGTTTGTTCACCGCCGAATGTGCTTGTGACTGGAACCTCGTATTCTCATAGCTGGGAAAAAATGTGGCCATCAGCTTGTGTGCGTGCCGCCCCGAAAGGCGCCATGACCATTGATTTCTTCCTTGAGTTTGTGCTCAGATGGGAGAAGTGGACACGTCGCAACTTGGACGTGCCTGCAGATCAGTGGCTCCTTTTGCTGCTGGACTCGGGAGGTGGCAGCTTATGTCACCTCTCCCCTGACTTTACCATCCTATGCGAATCGCGGCGCATCAGACCTCTGTTTTTCCCTCCATATTGCACAAGCGCAATATGTCCCGCTGACCAAGACCCAAATTTCCAGGCTGAGAAAAAGTGGGACAGTCTGAGGAAGAATGCAGACAGCTTGAACCATTTGCATGCCTTGGACATGGCGCATGAAATTTGGGAGCATGCGTTCACTGAGAAATTTATTTCCAATGGCTTCCGAAAATGTGGCCTCCTTCCCAACCAGAAGATTGACCGCTCGCAAGTGTTTGGAGCAAGAGCCAACGAACTCTTCAGGTCTATTCTTCCTTGTTCCGAGCTTGCTCCACAGACAGAAGAGGGCAAGAGCATCCTAGAAAGACCCAAAGGTTACAAACGTGCTCCAGCTCGCTCAATTTGCAGTGAGTGCGGTGAGCGCACACCGTGCAGTCTACCACGGTGTGGGTACTGCGGAGCTCAGAACCTGCAGTATGACCAAGTGGCAGACGTGGTTCACTCTGGCTACAAGCATGGTGGGTACACCAAGTCGCAACCACAAATCGAGAATGTGGACGAAGCCCTTGCCGGAGTTGAAGCGAGCACCAAAGCCAATCTGGCCCGATGGTCCGGTGACCTGATCGGCGAAATGAGAACGCGGAAAGCTACCGAACAAGGTGCGGAGGTGGATCACAGGCAAAGAAAGTGGCAGCTCCATCCACGCCTGCTTTGTCTCAGAATGTGGCTCCTTCCACACCTGCTCCTGCGCATGTGGCTGCACCACACACACCTGCTCAGCAGAAGACAGCTCCTGCCACTCCTGCTGGTTTCTTGGAAGTCTTCAGCGATTGAGTTCTTGTCCGAGCCTTGTTGCCTGCTGTTCCTCCTCCATCCCCCAAAAAGGTTATTTTTAGTTGTGGGTGGTCTGCTTTCCAATCAACAAACACTTGCTTTCTATCAAGGAAAGAAGGCAGATCCGGAAGAGGCGCCTACAGAGTTTGACCTTGAAGATTCCAACCAGTGCTCGCTGTTCATCCAGATGCATTTCCCAAAGGAACGGAGAGGGCAAGTCCGCAAGGTCGCAGACTTCTTCCTGCAAAGCTTGAAGAAAGATGTTTGCAAGAAGCAATTCTTTAGTGATCTTTTCCACATGAAGGTCATCAATGCACAGCTCTTGAAGAGTAAAGCCAGCAGGGCAGCATGGATGAGCGCCTGGCAAAGCAACCGTAACAAGCGGTTTGTCACCTTGACGTTGCCGGCCAAGAGCAAGTAGAAAAGATTCGGGTAGCCTCAGCATGCTGCATCTATGTTTGGGGGGTAATCTTCACCATAGTCGTAACCTTGCGTTCTGATTGGGGTTTGGTCACCAAAACGCTGCAAACTTCGACATCAAACTAGTTCTTTCCTGCACAGGGGCAGTGAATTCTTGATGTATAGCAGTTTTGACAAACATACTTCCGTAGAGCGTTTACATTGTGTTTTAACATAAACCGGGTGACTTTTCGCGAGCCGGGTGACTTTTCACTAATGCTGCGTTTCCATGCGGCCGGGTGACTTTCTGCAAATCCGGGTGACTAAACCCTAGCGCTAGTACTGCAAGTTTTTGGAGGACAACCTGCAGGTCACATCCAAATACTTGACGAAGTCAAGTATCGGACGCTTTTTTTCTTTGCAGAGATTTGATATGTGACATTTAGTAATAAACGTGTTACCCACCCTAGAGTGATTCTAGACATCCTGACATATTATAAGGACACTTCAGTTGTTCTTGGATGTTGTGTTTTGGGGTGTTGGGCACCTTACCCCCCCTCCCCCCGCCCTAGACCATCTTTTAATTCATAATGCAGCATTTAGACTCAACCGTTCAAAATAGTCAGTTACATGAATCCCAATGCATATTCCCCAAGAGAGATTCGCTTATACATACATGATGCCATTCAGACTTGACGGTCCACAAGACTCACTTAGATTTTTAAATGTGTCCTCAAGTTCAGACTCAACTGTTTAAAAGATAGATTCATTATGAATCATAAGTTAAGAAACCTTCTTCTTCCTCCCCTTCTGCTTTAGCATCCAAATAAAAGGTGAATAGGAAAACTGAGAGCATCTTCATCTTTTTCCTCCCCCTCTTCTTTAGTATCAATATCATTAGCGTCAGAAACAAGAAAACTGAGAGTAAAAAAAAAGTGAGGAGAGTCATTTTTGCAAGCCCCACTGATTTAATTCATTTCAGCTAAGTAGTCAGTCATTCTAGAGTGCTAGGTAGTCATGCACACACACACGGACACACACACACACATGTACATACACCTCCCTGCCACCCCCGCTTTCTTTCTTACGCTTTTTGTCATTTCTCGGGCTTTCTTTCAGGCTTTTTAGGTAGTTCTTGAGGCTCGTTTCCCCAGTTAAGGGCTAAGTATTCACTTTTTGCTACGCCCATCTTTCTCTCTTGCCCTTTTAGCGCTGCTCTTTCTGGTTTTCTTTCTCTTGTTTCTAAGGCTTTTTAGGTGCCTATTTAGGTTTTCCGCGCGAGCGCCGCGAAGCGGCTGAGTGTGTGCTCTGTTCCAAAGAGTTTCGGTTCGGTTCACATCGCAGGGGACCAGGCAGGATGCATCGTCGCCTGGTCAACGAAGCTGGCGATGCATCCGAGGATATGGACATGGGACGCCATTTCCACGTACCTGCAAAAACTGTTGTTTACGTGTGACTCCACTTTTCCTTTTTTGTTTCCATGGTGGTTCTTCGCATGATATCCCCCAAGACAGGTTTCCTCAGCTTTGGTAAAGCGCTAGTGCGTTTGTTAAACAGTTCTGTTCTTCGGACCCTTTCACCTTACCGTTCTTGCAGTAAAGTGCTAATGCAGTAACTAGCTTCCGCAGTCACGCAAACCTTTGTTAAACATCTTCAAGTTTTTTGGACTCAGCCACCTTTCTGTTCCATCGCCCTTTTCGACCTGGGAATAGAGTTAACTGCAAACCCATTGTCAAAGTGCGTGCACCATTGTGCACCTTGGATTCAATTGTTGCCCGTTGGCTTTTAGAACGCGCGGGGCGCCAGGGGTTCTGATGAGACCGGTGCTAACAAAGGCACTCATCAGTCACCTGTGATACAGTTGGAGACGTCCAACTGCAGAGTTTTGACTTTTAATTCCCCATTGGTCCCGTTCCTAACTAGAATAACTAGAACCATTTCTGGCTGCTGCATCGGTTCACTCACGGCAGTCAGACTTGCAAGTGTGGAGTTTTGAGACTTTTAGAGGTTCATGATCAGACCGCTTTACATATTATGTTTTCCCTGTTTCCGTTTCCTTAGGTTTTTTCACTTGGGCAGGCGAGAGGCATGGGGCGTTCAGTGCGTTCGTGTCATTGCCTGAGTGTGTGCAAACCGCTGTCACACACGGAATGAGACTGAACACTTATTCACCAAGCAAACATGCAGGGGGGCAACGGCCAATCTTTCTATGCAGTTGTTTGATGCATGTTCGTTCATGAAAAGTACATTGCCGCTGATCCGAGCTCTTTGCAGCCTTCAGAGTCACAGACGATGTTGCCTTTCCTGCGCGCAACACCCTTTCCCAGTGTCCAGTGTCCATCCTGTTCTGCAGGTCCTGAAGCGGATTGCTGTTTGTTCATGACTTTTCGGGGTCAGCAGGGTGCCAATTGTAGCCCGAGAATGCTCCAAAACCGTAAATTAGGCCCCTGGGGATGGTGAGGCAGGCTAGTCGGCTAGTAGGAGCAAGATCAGCCTTGTTGGGGACATGTATATCTATAACTATATATGTGTGTGTGACGTGTCTTCCCACGAGCAGCTTCCAAAGACACATGCAATCGAACTGAGGCTACTGTCTCCTTTAAAGAGGTCTTGGAGGATGCCCGCTGCCGCTTGAATGGTGTCCCACGCAATCCCTGTGGATTCCTTGCTGTGGTCATCAAGCATTTGGGTGTCTCCGTGAAACTGGGTTCTTGAGACGTCCTGAGATGAACACTGCAAGCGTAGATGCAAGCGCCGCGAGACCGTTGGCATGGCCTCAGAGCCCCTAGCTGTTAAGTCAACAGCAGTTGCTGAGATTGAAAAGGACATCGAGGTTGATGGTGCAGTTGCAGCATCAAACCTGACTCCAGTGGAGACTGACTGCAGCATGGTAGGTCACTGTAGAAGAAAATAGAAAAAGTCCAGCCGCAAAAGGAGCTTTGCACATATATCTAAAGATGATTAAAGATGCAATGACGGATATGTTAATTGAATTCATCCAGTACATGACGCCGTGAACTTGCGAATCCAGCAAGCAATAACAGATTGTCCAAAAGATGTATTGAGGGAAGCCTCGTAATAAATAGTTAATTGTGGAACCCAGAGGCTCATCACCATGCTGCAGGACCCCTAAAGATATGGAGTGCCGATTTAAACAAACACATCGCACTGAGAGTTTGTCAAGCTTGTGAGCTATGCCAGCCGACGTCTTGAGAGATGCAGATCCTAACTGTTTTGCTGAGACTCGACCGGGCAAGTGTGGGTTCCAATTTGGATGCCCGATGCGCGAGCAACGCCAGTCAACCCTCCTACTTATGACCATATATGATACAAACGACTGGCGGTGAGAAACGCTTCAAAACCGAAGAGTCGACCTTTATTAAGCTGAGATCAAACAAATAAACCATCCAGATCGAAAGGTTTTTCCTTTCCCTTGCCAAACCCTATTTAAAACATGGTATGTACGTCTCAAAAAACTGCATCCTGCGAGGTTCCCCACTGGAGGTTTTCTGGTTAAAACAGGGGAATGTGTGTCATTTTGCAATGGAGACTAGATTTCTTTACTTACAAAAAGTTCGACTTTTGGTCTTATGGCATGAAAGAGCAGGAAGAGGCCCAAACATTACATTGAAATGGGTAAAGGGGAATTGCACAATTTCTACAACTATTGAGATGTGGTCAGTGGTCTTGTTGAGGGGTTGTTGGAATCGATACTGTACCTATTTTCTACAGCTGAACGGTATTGTTGTTCCATGTTGCCACATATGGCCACACTAATGGGTTTCATTGCCGAAGCAGGAGAGTTGCAATTTTCTTCTTCGGCAGGAGAGAAGGCGGCCTAGCCAAGGCGGCCAAGGCCTGAAGGAGTAGCTTCTTGCTAGTAGCGATGCCCTTTTTAGACATGAAGATTCAACGAACCAGGCCAAGGCCGCTTCCTCCGCGACTCATTCGCCTTTTGGCCCACCGGTCACCTGCCCATCAATCAGTTCTCCGAACGGCGAAAGCAAATCCCGAAACGCATTTTCACACGGTACTCGGTCCTATTCAATCAGATCAGAAAAGAAGCTTCCGTGTTACGGGCATTTGGAAAGTGTCGCGTGAAATGCAAAATTTCAAGCCGTGCAGCCTCACACACGCGGAAGGTCTTAAGCAGCTCGGTGCACGGCCGAAGCGGTGCAGCCGATCCAGGTCAGTAAGCAGGTCAGAAAATTGCCGCGTAGCTGCATGGCACTGTTCGGTTCCAGCTGCATTGCGCAGTCTCAAAGAGGGGTGTGAGGCATCCACCCACCCGCCTTCCACTGTACACCACAGGCATGGGCCCGAGGTCCCGGCAAAGTAGGCAAGTCACTTGTCAGACATGCCCAAAGCTCATTAACAAGCCAACGGCTGGCACTACCTTGATTGACAATGCCAATCTCGGCTGAGGTAAAAGGATGTAGACTCTAGTGTCAGAATCAACAAAGCGAGAAAGTGGTTGCTGTACATAAAGCTTTCCCACGCTGGGCAAAAACACGGTCAGCGCAACCCTACAACCCAGACATTGTCGCGTACGAATGTGCACTGTAGGGCCACGAGGTGTGAGCCACCGGACCTCGCTTTTTGGCGCCCCCAGCACAATGCTCACAGGTTTTGAGCCGGCTCCTGCCACTGGTTGCGGGCCCTGTTTTTCAAAGCATATTGAAGATCCAACAGCTGGAGACATGGCAAGCATATAGTCCGCCACTCCCCTGCTGTAGTGTGGACACAACTCCTATAGCAAACATGTAAGTCACCAACCCATTGATGCCCTCATGAAGTGAAGCGTTGCCAGCTTGCAAAAATGTAGATCATCAACCCGTGCGCAGTGATACATAGTGAACTGAAGCACTGCAGCTTGCAGACATGTAGGTCGCCAACCCTTTTGCGTGATGCCGCAGTGACTGAAGCACTGCAGCTTGCAAACATGTAGGTCACCAACTCTTTCGCGTGATGCCATAGCCGTAGTGAGCTGAAGCACTGCAGCTTGCAAACATGTAGGTCGCCAACCCTTTCGTGTAGGTCTCCAATTCTTGCAGCAAGGCAGTGGTATGACGAAGCTACCAACATGACACCGCAAAAGTCCCGGGCAATCCGCTCGAGCAGCCGAAGGAAACAGCTATGACAGCTGTATGCGCCCAGCATGCCGGAACTCCATTGCAAAACAATTCAAATCTCAGCATTTTCGAGAGATATCCGGCGCAGAGTGTGTCCCTCAAGCTCGACTGTTAAACTTTGCGGAGCGGCGGTTCTAGAATGGATTTATTTGCATCATTGTGAGAACGCCGTGCGCTGTGTGGGACGTTTTAGATGTTCTCTCCAACTTGCACTTCCGAGGAAGTCTGGTCGTTTCTCTGGTACTTTCATTTTACGTCGGGCTTCTACGCTTGTGGGCAATAGGTTAGTGTAAGGTTGAGCCGTTTAACCAAGTAGCGTGGAAGTGGCGGGCAAAGCATCCCATTCGGCAATGGGGCGCATTCGGCAATGACTGGGAGGAAGGGGGGCTATGGAGGCGGCGTCGGTGGTGGCGGCCGCGTAAGAGGGCGGGTTTGAGTTGGTGAGCTGGGGAAGAAAAGACAAGGCCGCGCGAAGAATTTGAAATCCAAACGCCACAGGAGAGGTTGGTGCAGGTACAAAAGTTCCTCAAGCAAACCTTCTTTGAAGGGATGGATGGTTTTTTTCCCAGAGTGTTGCTTTTGACATTTGCAAGAAAAAACAATGTGGAAATGTGCGGAAGACATGCAATTTGAGCCTTACCGCCCTTCTAGCTGTAAAACAGGCCAAGCAACATCAAGCAACCACCAGGAGTGGCAATTGTTTGCACACTCGCCGTTGGAAAGAAGCCGCCCAACATGCAAGTCAGTGAGAACATGTTTTGGGATGTTTGGGGCATCGTTTCCTCGCCCCCATTGCTTCGTGTACGAAATGTCCATTTTGAAGCGTTGATGTGAAATTTGGAAGAAGACTCGCACGCAATGCTCATTTTTGAGGACGTTTCGCGCAAAAGTGTAAGATCGGAAAAGTCTCGCAGCCTCGCGCGAAACGTTTTCGAGAGGTAGCCGGCGCACTATGCAAAGTGTGTCGCTGAAGCGACGGCTGAACTTTGCAGAGCGGTGGTTCTAGAATGGATTTGCATCATGGTGAGAACGGTTTGTGGTTGGCCACACGATGGGTGGGACGTTTTTGGTGTTCGTCTTCAGTTATATAGTTTTCATTTTGCAAGAGGCCTCGCACGAAACGTTCTTCATGTTGAATAACTAAAATTATACGCTGACTTTGTGCGCTTTGACATGCAAAATTTGCTTGCGCGGAATGCTCTATTTTGAACTTTAACTTAACATGCAATGTAATGCTCCCTTTGAGACATTCAGAGGGAGTTGTATTTTTGTTTGCTTTTTGTTGTTTTTGTTTTGTATTGCTTTTGTTTATGCCTCTTCCTGCTTTTCTATTCTTGTCTTGCTTTTCCTTTCCTTGCTTCCCTATGACGCTCTATGATCTCCCCTGCTTTCCTTGCTTTTCTGCGCTTGTGTTGCTTTGCCTTACTTTTCATTGCTTCTTTGTGAATCCTCTTTCTTTTCTTGCTTTTGCTGCTGGCGTTGTGCTTGGTTTGTTCTTTCTTGGTTTCCAGCCTTCCAGCTTGCAAAACCCTTCGCTCGCCATTACTATTTTGTTGGACATTCGCAGAGTGCTGCGCCTCACACCACCGGAGAAAGACAATTAAACAATTTTATATATAGATAGATGCCTTTTGGGGATGTTTCACCAGCTGTTACACTAATGTGAAACATGTCCACATCAGACCACCGCAACCCCACAACTTTAATAACGGTGGATGCTATGGGCCACCAGGCTTTGGCCATCTGACAAAAGACTTGGATGCTTCGATCAGAGAGGTTTACAAAGTGCTGCCAAGGAAAAACTTAGAGAGGGAAAGGGGAAAAGACTTGAGAAGACCACGCTACCCCAAGTTCAATCAGCACAGCGGACATTCTTTGTTTTTAATTACTCAGGCATTGTGCGTATTTCTTAACGGTGGCGTTTACAGTTATAGACTGTGACTGTGATAGAGATTTGCTTTCCGCGCATGGCTCTTTAAACCATGTGCATGGCTTCCAGTTCTCGGCCACCAATATATTTCTGGCCTCCACAATTGCTTTAAGCATCAAGCCCCTGCTTAGATTCGATGCCAATGTGGTTTGCTGGCGGTGTTTGCATATGCACCTTGTCCATTCGACTGAAGAAATCAGCGTTGCATACTGCAGCAATCTCAAACTTTTACCATGCGAAGGAACTGTGGGGATCATAGCCACTGAATGCAGGGCATGAGGAGCAGTGGGCCTCTTGATGCGAACAACAGTGCTTACACGCTTGGCAATGAAGGCACTGGGCTTTGGACAATCAGTTCCTTTGCCATTCAATGCTGGGCAACTACATGTCTAGGAACTTTTTGAATGTGTTTCAGACGCCTGCTTTGAGGACCCTGCTCATGAGAAGCAGGCAGAGTGGACGTACCCCAGTGAACACGTCAAAATCTTGCTTTGACCCAAAGTTGCTTGGTGACAGTGGTATACAATGCTTACATATGGTTATATACGCGGTTTGGCAGTGCTTGCAAAGGGTGCAGCAAAGCAAGCTGATGACCTGCTCGCTTTTAGGTTTGCAGAGTCTGATGTTTAAATTCCGCCGACCCGTTGGGCACAACCCAATCCGGAGAACAACGCTGCCGTGCGGCTATGTCCGACCTTTTTGTGCAAGTCTAAGCCTCTCACGTGATAGCGACTCAACAGGGAGGAATTTACATCGCTCAATCTGGTCCTCGGACCCGGACTTCACACTGCCAAAAGCAACGTGATGTTCATACCCTGGTTCCTCTGACGTGAT